TTTCTGGTCCCCACCTGTCGTTTTGCTCCTCAGCATGGCTTCCTAAAAATGCTGCAGGATTTCTCAATGAGTCAAAGCAAGGCTTTGGGCATGTTTTTTATGAGAGTATAACATTATAACATGATATAAAACTCAAAAAAGTTGATTTTACATGATATTGCCCCTTTAAAATAAATGTTTCTCAAATAAAGTCTAATGTGACAACTAATCATGGWTCCCTTTAAGATCATCTCAGTGGTTCATGAAATGTTCTGCAAACGATACAAACTAAAACATTGTCGCTCTGCTTTCACTGGTGAACGATACAAAACAATGAAGAAAACATGAAAACACAATCCAAAGATCTGCTTCAACTCAAATTCCTCACCAGCACTTTCGTTGCCGTACGGCTGTCTCTCGTCCATGTCCTCCTCCTCCTCCTCCGCCTCCTCTCCCTCCTCTTCCAAGTCCACGATCCCAGACCTCTGTCTGCCTCGCTCTGCCTCCAGAAGGCTCCTGTCCCGTCCCTTCTCTCTGTTCCCGTTCTGCCCACCGCCGTGGACCGCCGCGGCGTCCGAGCTGTAGATGGACGGGTAGTTCTGGGAGTAGAGTCTGCCGTTGGGGCTGACTCCGCCCACCCCGCCGTCGCCTGCAAAGTTCTGCACCTTCAACACAGAAAGCAAACGCAGCGTAAAGCTCGTGGAACGTCTCAAATGAACGGCTCGGCGAGGCACGCGCTGCAACTCACCCCTCTGTGGCCGGGGTCAGAGGTCGAGTCAACCATTAGCTTCGTTCCTCCCTCCTCCCCGGTGTGACGCGTGTGCTTGTGAGCGGTTAGCATGGTCGTGGAATGCAGCACGCCGATGTCATCCACGTAGCGGCGCGTCGACTCCGCCAGGAAGCCCTGACCCCACACGTTATACGAGAAGTCACACTCCCTCTGGAAGGAGGCGCTGCCCTCCCGGTTCTTCGCCACCTCCTCTTCCCCAGCGGGTGACCGGAACTTCTTGCAGGCCGTGAGGAGGGCCAGGTCGCAGCCGGACTTTTGGCAGTATACCTCTGCAGCAGAAATTAGCGCCAGCCAGCTCTCCTTGTGGTTGTCCGGGATCTCGGACGAATGAGTTACGGAGGCCATGATAGTGCGGAGTCCTCGTTGCTGAGTCCCTACTGGGCCTGGTGAGGTARCTAAGTGACACTGATAAGAAGTGGGAGAGCTCTAAGGATTAAATGATCAGACGTGGGGAAAGTGGCTGATGTGGGGGGCTTCAAACTTAAAGCTTTGGCAGCGGTGAAGTTTCTGATTGGTTTCTTGCTGGTGCGGTTTTTGTGGTGATGAGGATGCAAGTGGGAAGTTGTCAAGAAAAGAGGCACTCTGTGATTTAAAGATATGATGTTTCAGGTGTCCTTCCACAATGGAGTGCCAGGGGAGAGAAGAAATGTTGCCAAGTTGCTGGTGATTCCTGAAAAAAAGGGGGAAATAAACAAAAATAAGCTGCATATATTCCTTCTCTGTTGTGTTGGTTTTGTTTATTTATCAAASAGCTGATTGCACACATGAACTAATGTTTAAATAAATATATAAACTTGCACATAAACCGCCTATGTTGTAGCTGTCCCAGGCTTCACCTCCTTCTCTGCACATTATGCAATGCTAACAACTTTAGCTTCAGTTAGCGCATTGTGATGACTCCGCTTGCTTATTCTTTTACAAACTCTTTTTGTATCCACGTATATATGGTTTATTTTGCACGTGATGGACTTTAAAGCTGAGGCTTTTTGCCACTGCTGCAGCTGTTGTTGTTTATCTTGTGTTGTGTGCAGCATGATGAAACGTTTCATCATGTCGCTCCATTTCAGGCTTTCAAAGAAGCCGAAATCCGACTTTAATGTATAGATAAAACAAGATAAACACTTGCCTACCTGTTCAGTTTCTTTCTTCCTCGCTGCCAGGTGTTAAACAAGCTTATTTATTCCTGTAGTCCCACGTATTCCTGCCCTCTTCCACGGTTTCTCTCCCCTAGCAAGCCTAGACACCAGAGGCAGCAAGCTAGCTAGCATTTTTCGTTGCATTTCCGGTTATGGATTTCAAAATAAAAGCCACTTGCTGGATCAATTTATACGACTGACAAGTAACCGTGTTTGGTCTAAATGAGGGTTTAGAAGTATCTTTTTTTAATAAGTTAGTTACCTCATTTGGAACCAATTTTAACTTTTAATAATCACCTGTAGTGACTTATTCCTGTGCATAAACCTAAAACCAGTTTTTAAGTTCATGTGTAAAACGTGCAAAAACGTTTTCATTAAATAAATGAAGTCGATACTTTTTTTTTTTTTTGTTGCAATGATTTTAAAATAAACATCAGCTGACATCCGGTGGTTTGTCTGGCTTGACTCGGCTCTGACGTCACCTGTTTACTGACTTAAAGCACGTCGTGCACGGGCCCGTTAACCGTGGACGTGCACGTTTGCCCAAACCCACATACGTAAAAACTTGCTCCTTTTAGCTGACTTTATTTATTAATTAAAATAAAATCAACTATGTTGCTGCAGCCTAGGACATTAGAGCATTAAAGCCACAGAATTAAAAAAATACAACTTTTAGGTGTATTTTGTTTTTTTTAGAATGTAGACTTTTAATCAGAATTTATGGGGGAAATCAGTTTTTTTTTTTTTTTTTTTGATGAAAGTAATTAACTTGAACGTCGGCATGGCTGACAAACTCGAAAGGTGAGTTGTGAGGCTTTGCTGCCATCTTGTGGTAAAAATGTGGAACATCATCAAAACTCAAATAAAAAGGATATATTTACAATTTATAAACAATAATATTACAAACAAAATATTTTTTAAAACTACCTGATACTTTGCGTGTGTAGGTGACATCTATTCTGAATTTACCATCTTTAAAACCTTTACAACAACGCAAACAAAGAAAGATGGACTCTGATTGGTTCAGCTGCGCAGACGTTGCTTGAGTGGGGGCGGGACTTTCCTCCAAGCAGGAAGTGTGACGTAAGGTTTGTTTTGTTGGAACAAAGCGACAGAGGCGACCCAAAATGGGGGAAAACGTTGAGGATTTCAAGGTTTTTACACGTTTTTGTTGCCTGTGATGTTTTAACTTTACAAATGTTGACAGGYTGAAATCAGAAAAGTCGCGTAAACCTTTCAGGTTATGAGTTGTTCTGTGTAAAGATGATGTGTCCAAATTCGGACACAATTCGCTTCGTGTTTTTCTTTTGACTGCATAAAAACTCTTTAAAGTCTTTAAGGTCGTGTAGAAGGATGATAAGTAAATATATTAATAATTTAACTTGTAAACTGTTAAGTAAGAAAAAAGTAAAGTGTTTTTTTTTTCTCAAACCTAATCTCGTTTCTGACCTGCTGACCCTTTTTTTAACCGAAACCCATCATGTGATCTGACCGAGTCCTTTGCATATTTTTATAATCTCACCCGTGAAACTATGAGTTTAATATTATAGACGCAAAGTTAACATAATTTTATTTGCATTTATAAACGATCAAGACAGACCCGATCAATATCTGATTAGATCGTTTCCTGCTTTTTTGTGAATTTTTTCTAATTTTTCTGCAAAAAGAAAGCTAAACCTAAACTTTTATTAACTAATATAACGTTCTACGTACAATTTATTGATATTAAAATATTTTATATGTTTTAAGATACGTTTTTGTCAGCATTTACTTGTTAGTTTTCAGTGTCTTTCGTGTCTTTCTTTCTTTCTTTTTTTCAGCTTATATTTGAGAAAGAGGGGGTGTACCTCCACACAAATGCCAAGAGGAGTAACCAGGAGACCAGCATACCAGGGTTTGTCCGCATCGTGGAGCGGGTAAGCTGCTGATATAAAGACTGATCAGAGAAGCACAGAGTTATAAAAGTAAAGCTCTGACAGAAAATAAACACACAAACTACTCAATTCTGATTAATGAGGCTTTTATTCTGAAAGTCAAGTTTTGGCTCTGCTGGTGAGGCTTTTATTCTGACAGAAAATACAAAAAGTCAAAGAAAACATCTTTATATTTAAAAAAAAGTGGAAAATACACACGATTTAACCCATTTTGTCACAAAACTGGCTTATTTTCTTTTGAATTTTGCTCAGCTAAAGTGCAACAGGAAGTGACGTCAATTCATTCATTTTTCACAAAGAAAACTCTGGTCTTTGTTTATTGAATCAATATTATTTGAACTCTTCTTCATCTCTMTGATAGAGACTCAAAATAATCTTAATAAACATCAGATTCTTCTCTACAGTCTGTGTTGTTGGCTGTTGTAACAACGCTCTGTTTACATGCAGATATTCCMCTTTGACATCACTTCCTGTTTCTTCACAGGCAAATATCTCAACGACTGTTCATCTCAGTGACRTGAGATTTCTTTTGCAGTATTTCGTCAATGACATCTTTTCAAAAATGCGTTCATATGTATTACAAAAATTTGACGTCACAGRCACTTTAACAGCCGAGTAGTCCAGCAGCTCAACTAGCTGAACCACTTCGCAGAGAAGAGATCTTGTAGTTTTATTTTAATTTGTAATTTTTCTAGGCTGGCGTCCCGGCTTTAGAGTGGAGCCCACTGGAGGATGAGGGTCGCAGCGCTCCGGCTGTGCTTTACACCAAAAAGGTGTGTCCGCATTTATTTGCCACGTGCTTAAAGGATCAGAAAACATTTGGACCTGATGTAAATCAGAATGGTTTATTTTTGATCATATTCAGGATGATGAAGCGGGGGAGGAAGAAGCAAACTTTGACCCTGGGTACGAGCCRGACTGGGCTGTTATCAGCAACGTGAAGAAAGATTCGAATCACGTGTCCGTGAGAAATTCAGGTGCGGTTTCAGCTTCCCTGCAGTGAAATGAAGACAAACAAACTGAATGTTTTTGTTTTACCTGCAGGTCAGTGGGCTTTCTCTCTGCCGCTCTCAGAGCTCTACTCTCTCCGAAGGTCCCGGTTCTCCTTGGGTCGAAACTTTYTAGTGCTGACCAGCAAAGGTGGCCACCCACTCCCCCCTCTGCACTTCCACAGAGGGGGAACCAGGGAGCTGCTGAGGGCTCTCCACCGTTACATCGTCCTGGAGCAGTGAGTATATGACCTGCAGCGTTCAGGATCAGCTCCCCTGTCTGCGTGTAGCTACACACTGAGGTCACGTGATTTGTGTCGTCGTCAGGTCGCCTGTTGACGGGCGGCTCTTCCTCGCCTGCCTGCGTGACCCGAACGCCGCCGCTCAGCCCTTCGACAAGCTGCAGTTTTTAGATGACGGTGGCTCCGATATCGTCATGGTAAATAAATGTGTCGCTGTTGTTTTCCTGCTTTTTTTTGTTATTTTCACTGTAGCAACATTAGCCTATAGCAGGGCTATTCAACTAGTTCTGCCCACCAATTGGTTCATTCATCTCTTAAGCCCAAACCTCCGGTTTTCTACTTTAATTACTCTTAAGTTCTTTAGTTAAACGTAGACATGTGCGGTGTCTACAGAAACATCAGAATCTTGGCTACAAGCTGGTAAAAATAGTTTCTATGAACATTCAAGACAGTTATAAAACTATGAAAGTGAAAATAAAATTGGTTTAAAAATTTGGCAAGTCTGAGATGTCAAAATATTATTTGTTAAATAGGAGTAATAATGTGTTCTTTATGTTTCTGACATATTTTATTATCACTACTTTTATAGCTTTCCGTAGTAATCATGATTAAATGCAGCAAAATAAACCAAATCAAAGGTAACAGCTCTTTATAATAATTGCATTACTTTAATTGCTGGATGTTCGGGCCCGGAGCAGTTTAGTKKAATAGCCCTGGCCTCTAGCTAGTATCCTTCTTCTTTCGGTTTTAACAACTCAGTGTTCAGACTTTCTCAGATGAGCTGTTTCTCCTGTTCAGGGTTCATGCAGGATCTTAAAAAGCAAATAAAAACTAAAATTTGAAAATCTAAATTTTCGGCCTCAAAAAGTCTTACGCTGCGTTCACACCAAACGCGATTTCAGCTTCAAAATCACATCCAACGCTTCAAGTTTGAAGCTTGTGCACTTTGAGGTCAGACGC